GAGGTCTTACTAATTCAGTGGTAGCAGGAATGCAGTTTCAAAATGGCTTGTTCAGTCCCAGTCCAGATGGCCTTGGTCAGCTCCCATTAGAACAGTCATACCGTCTCAGTGGGTGGATGAACCCCTCGGTGTCCTGACTTCCTTCCTCATCTCCCTCTTTCTGTTCTTCAACTGGACCTTGGGAGCTCAGTTGAGTGCTCCAATGTGGGTCTCTGTCTCTATCTCCATCCATTGCCAGACAAAGGTTCTATGGTGATATTCAAGATATTCATCAGTGAGGCTATGGGAAAAGGTCAGTTCAGGCACCCTCTCCTCTACTGCCCAAGGACCTAGCTGGGGACATCCCCTTGAACACCTGGGAACCCCTCTAGAGCCAAGTCTCTTGCCAACCCTAAAATGGCTCCCTTAATTAAGATATCTTCTGCCCTGCTCCCACATCTGCCCTTCCTCCATCTCAACCACCACACTCCCACAAGCACTCCCCAATCCTCCCCTTCTCCCTTTTTTATCCCCTTCTCCCTTTCTCCCCGCCCCACCTGCACCCCTATGCACCCAAATGTTGCACGGTGATTTTACCTGCTTCCAGTTTCAAGGAGGATCCACTCATCCTCCTGCTGCTTATGGGAATGAAAACTTGTACAACTACTTTGGAAATCAGTGTGGCAGTTTCTCAGGAAACTGGGAGTCAACCTAACTCAGGATCCAGCAATTCCACTCTTGGGAATATACCCAAGAGATACCCAATCATACCACAAAAATATTTGTTCAACTATGTTCATAGCAGCACTATTTGTAATAGCCAGAACCTGGAAACAACCTAGATGCCCGTCAATGGAAGAATGGATAAAGAAAGCATGGCACATATACACACTTGAGTTCCACTCAACAGAAAAAAAAATGACATCTTGAATTTTGCATGCATATGGATGGAAATAGAAAACACTATACTGAGTGAGATAACCCAGACCCAAAAAGATAAATATGGTACATACTCACTCATAGTAGATTCTAGTCATAAACAAAGGACACTGAACCTACAGTTCATGATTCTAGAGAAGCTAAATAATAAGGTGAAGACAAAGAAAATCAAATGGCTGTTTTAAATGGAGTTCCACTGTATAGGATGATATTGCTCCTGTCAATAAGCACTTGTTATCTATCAAAAATCCCAGTTTCATGCATGTGATACCTCTCTTTGAATAATTGGCCCTGGCCATCCAAGAGACTACCAAACTAATATAGGCTATTAACATTCCCCTAATTGCTCCCTGAAGCATGAAGGTAAGACCCCATTTTTAAACTCCATATATTTTGGACATGTTATATGGAGAAATCAAGCTGAAAAGAAGTTATGAGAATTCAGATTGTCTGTAGGTACTCTGTGGTTGTTGTAGAAGTATGTTGAGAAGGTAATACCACTTAACCTAGGCAGGTTTTCTGTGGCACTGGTAATTCATAGCCTAAAACACACACACACACACACACACACACACACACAAAACGAGAGTCAGATACACAGAGACATAAAGGTAGAGAAAAACAGAAATTGAATGACATTAAGAAAAAGAGAGATAATTAATAGTACTGCAAGAAAACAAACACAACACCAAGTTGCCATCTTCCTGACTACTGTCAATGTGTGCCTGTACACAGGTAAAATGAGAATTCAATCTGTCTGAGAACCCATGTGACATGGTACCTTTTGTCAGGAAGCAGAAGAGTATGAGATAAAATAGCAGATACTGATGGAAAATTAAAGGATTTTGTCATTCTAGAGCCTGCACACTGTTTGCATTTCAAAGAACTTTATCTCAGTGACAAATTTGCCTTTCCTGTTATATTTTGTCAATATTAGTGTGTCTTCTTATGTAGTGTCAATTATGTAGAATGATCTTAATGATACATAGTACTAGAAGGAAGGGAATTAAATGGAAATGCATAGGCATATGTGTTTTAAATAAATTATATGACAGGGTATATTTCTATACATATGAGGATGATTTAAAGGAGAGAAGTAGTTTGTAGGGTTTGACATATCTGGAGGGAACTTCTCTCATCCCCCTGGTCCCACCTGACCCTGAAATGCATGCATCAGCATTCTGGTTGAGGAAGAAGAATCTGGAATCCTCACACAGTGATCAGGACCCAGGGGATATTTGCAAAAACTTCTATTAAAGGCGCAAGCCTTTAATCCTAGCACTCGGGAGGCAGAGGCAGGCGGATCTCTGGGAGTTTGAGGCCAGCATGGTCTACAAGAGCTAGTACTGGGACAAGGCACCAAAGCTACAGGGAAACCCTGTCTCGAAAAACCAAAAAAAATAAAAATTCTATACACCTCCATTCTCAACATCAAGCCAAATGCTGTCATCCAGTATAAAGAAAGACTAAGAACTCAGATCATTTTTCAGAACTTAAACTTTAATAATTTCTATGTTGTAGAAACAGAAATCAGATGTCAAGGGGAAATAGAGAGTGTGCATAAACCTCTGCCTGACAGTCACATTCTACATGCATATTAATGTTTTTCTTAGGATCACAACACAGTGTTGAATGGAGTCCCTGCTTGACGACCTTCAAATCTATGTTCACAGGAGAGTCACTAGAGCAGCACTAACAAAAAGAAAACATCTCTCTTTAATTCTCATCCTCCAATGGTGTGGGTCAGACTAAGGCAGGAGTAATACTTGACCTGCTGTGTAGATGAGAAGGAGAAAAGCAGAGAGTT